TACCATCTCAGCCGGGTGGTGGTGGCGGCGGCGCACGCCTTTAATCCCAGCACTCGGGAGGCAGAGCCAGGCAGATCTCTGTGAGTTCGAGGCCAGCCTGGACTACCAAGTGAGTTGCAGGAAAGGCGCAAAGCTACACAGAGAAACCCTGTCTCGAAAAACGAAAAAAAAAATTATAAAATAAATAAATAAATAAATAAATTACCATCTCAAAAAAAACCCACACAAATAGAACTTAAGTAAGGAAAGGAAGCAAACATATAGCAGGTATTCTTTTGAGCATTTGAGGGCAATATTAACTATCAAATTCTTAAGCAGAGATGGATTGGATATGAGTTTATGCTGTGATTCCAGATGTTTTCCAGAGATAATATTCAAAGTGAAAGAAATGAAACACACTGGAAAATGGCACTTGTCTGTGAAGATGAGATGTATACATCTGCTTTATAATGCAAAGCAGACATACAGTTTGCAATGGCAGAGGTTAAAGAAAGACTCAACTTCCAAAAATAACATTCAAATAAGATTTAGCAAATAAAAATAAAGTGAAAAGGCAAATAAAAGAAATATAATCCTATCTATCACATATTTCCCCCTATTTCACTCACCCATGTTCCCCATCCCATTGCCTCCTATTTTCACGGACTATATACTTTTTGACAACTCACAAAGTCTAGTTAATGCTTCCCAAATGTGCATGGGTGTGGGCATTTAGTGGAATATGGGAAAGCTATCAATGGCCATTCTCGATAGAGAATGGTCCTCCCTTTCCTCAGCAATTATCCACTGCTAATAATTCCTCAGTATGCTGTTGGGCTTAGAGATCATCTATCCCATTTATAACAGATTATAGCTGGCTCTATCATGTGTAAATCTTATGTGGGTAAATATAATTGCCACGAGCTTATGACTGTGTTAGCCTTTCATAGTACTCCTTCCACCTTCTGGCTTTCACATTCTTTCTATCTCCTCTTCCATAATGTTATAAGAGCCTTGGCAGTGTGGGGGGGGGGGGGGGTCGTGTGTGTGTGTGTGTGTGTGTGTGTGTGTGTGTGTGTGTGTGTGTGTGTGAGTGTGGTGTGTATTGTGTGTGTGTGTGTGTGTGTGTGTGTGTGTGTGAGCGTGTAAGTGTGTATATAGGAGTTGGGGGCTGGGGGGTGTCCTGGTTAGATCTAAGCACACACTCTCTTATTCTCTGCACTTTATCCAGTGTTCCATGTCTCCATTGATGGCTGCCCACTCCAAAAAGAATCTTCTCTGACCAAGATTGAGAACAGCCCAGGTATATGGTTATAAGCATATAGGAAGCAATTTGACCACATGATCATTTGACAAAATAACAACAGTGGCACATATACACAAGGAGAAATTATGCTACTGTAAAGAAAAACAAGATCATGAAATAGGAGGTAAATTGACAGAAATGGAAGTTCATATACTGAGAGGGGAACTCAGGGCCAGAAAGACAAGTGCTCTATGTTTGCTCTCATAAGTAGACCCTTGCTTCAAGTCTTTTGTTTGTGTATTTAACTTGGAACAAAAGCAAAAGCCAGGAAAGTAGAAGAAGTCTTTGGGAAAAGGCACATTAAGGGACAGAATACAGTAGAGTATAGGTAAAAAGGAGTGAGGTGGAACACTAGGTGTGGAAAGGCTTAAGCATGGAGGATTGTAAGAGCATGGGGAAATGAAGGGGCAAAGAGGCAGACTAACTTCCAAAAGGAAGTGGGTATGAAAAGCCATAGGGAAGCCTACTATTTGACAAACAAAACAACAAAACAGTTGAATGATAGTAGAGCATATTGAAAAAAAAGAAGAGATGGGAATGCTAGTGATTACAGGGTCAAGCAAGGAAGAGAGTAGGTAGAATGGGGAAGAAGAGGGAGTAGTTAGTAGGTTAACCAAAACTAAGCATATATGAATATCCTTATGGAAACCCACTACTAAGATAATTTCAAAATGCACTTCAAAAAGAAATGAGAAAGAGTTACAATGAAATTATCCTGTGTGGGTGAACACTGTTGCTTCTGGAAGACACAGGTTATTAAATGAAAGTCTCAGTAGAAACTATGGGTTATCTTCTTATAAGTTATTGATCAGGTAGGTTTCAGGGGTCTCCAAAACAACACAGGCTATTGCTGCTGCTTTGATTATCCATAATAACTACATTTTAAGACCCTACTGCTGAAGGAACCACATACTTTGGCTCCAGGACATAGAGAGAGTAATATCAAACCACCTGGGAAGCTATCTTCCTGCTGGATAGTTTTCATTGTGCCAGAAAGGGTTATGCAAGCTGCTGGGAGAAAGGAATCAGTGTTCTTATCCAGATCTGGACACTACATGCTACAATACGGAATGTGCAAGATATGCCTCTAAGTAAAATGGTTTGGGGTAATGTGCTAGACAGTTTTATATCAAGTTGACATAAGCTAAAGTCATTTGGGAGGAGAGAACCTCAATTAAGAAAATTCCTCCATAAGATTGGGCTGAGAAAGCCTGTAGAACATTTTTATAATTAGTGATTGATGGATGGAAGAGGGCCCAGTCATTGTGGGTGGGGCCACCTCTGAGCTGGTGTTCCTGAGATCTATAAGAAAGCAGGCTGAGTAAGTCATGGGGAATAAGCCAGTAAGCAGCACTCCTCCATGGCATCTGTATCAGTTCCTCCCTCCAGGTTCCTGCACTCTTGGAGCTCCTGTCCTGACTTCCTTCAGTGATGGACTATACTGTGGAAATGTAATCCAAATAAACCCTTTCCTGGCCAAGTTGATTTGGTCATGGTGTTTCATCATAGTAATAGTCACCCTAGGTAAGACATATAACTAACAACTTTCTTATTGGATTTGGGACCTTATCTACAGGAGTGAATTACTGATACCATAGCACTGGTCAAAAATCCATGACTAGAGAAGTCATAGACCCTTAGGAAGAACCCAGTATTGGTTTAACTTTTAAATTAATAATGGTTCTATTTGAAAACTAGACTTAAACATGATGGCTAGGAGACATACTGGGCAATATAAACTAACTAAATATTAATATTATAATTTTATAAGAAAAGGTGATTCATAGGACTGGAGAGATGGCTTCATGTTTAAGAACACATGTTGCTCTTGCAGAGAATCTGAGTTTAATTCCTACACTGACATAGTAGCTACAACCATAAATTACTCCAATTCCAGAGGATTTGACACCCTTTTTTGACCTACATGAGCACTAAGCACACATGTGATACACATGCATACATGCAGGAAATGTACTCATACACAATAAAAATAAAATAAATGAAACTTTTAACAATCAAAGTTCATTTATGTGTGGTGGTATTTTATTTGTGCTGAAATGTGATATTTTATTTGAATGTTAATAAATAAACTTTGCCTGGAGATCAGAGGTCATAGTGAGCCATAAACAGAAGTCAAGTGGTGGTAGCACATGCCCTTAATCTGATCACATGGCAGGCAGAGTCTCTGTGTGTTCAAGGACACAGCCAAGTGTAATGACACATGCCTTTAATCCCAGTACCAACAATAGAGACCTAGAGGTCTGTATAGACAGGCAGTGATGAGGAAGTTATGTGGCTGGGCCTAGAGCCAATGAGAAGACAGAACAGGAAAACAATAAAAGCACAGGTTAGGCAGGAAGAAGCTCTCTCTTGGGAAGCTACAGTGTGGTGTTAAGGCTAGCCAGTGGCTCTTTGCTATTTCTCTGATCTCTTTGGTTATTACACCTGTATTTGGCTCTGTTTCTTATTTAATAAGACTGTTTAGAAATTCATCTACATTTATGTAGTAAATTTTTTTAATATTTTATTTAAATGTAGAACAAATTGAAATTGAAAAAACAAGTCTAAGTTATTGTCATTATTCCTTTCTTGAAATATACTTTGCTCCAAATACTGTAGAAGCCAGCAAGATGTCTCAGTGGGTAAAAGCACTTGCCACAAAACCTAAAAAACTAAATTTGATTCTCAGAACTCACACAAATATGGAAAGGGAGGAATGGTAAAAATGTATGAAATTCTCTAATAATTTTTTTTTGAAATATAAGGGAACTGTCTCTACACAAGCTATCCTCTACATCCATGTCTATGGCACATAATCCCATCATCATGAACATACATACACATCCAAAACTAATAGGTAAATTTTTTCAATAGCTTAGAAAACAGAGGGCCAAAATCATATACTTATTTCACAAAAGGTTTTGTTCAGTAATTGAAATTGACAGGCTTGGAGAATTCATTCAGTAGTTAGAAATTTTTCTAATATATCATCCTCCTAGTGATTTCCAAATAATATGATTAAAAATCAAAATGTTAGTTATCCTGCACCTACTACATTATTCAGAAGCAATTCCTGCACTGGAAAGAGTTAGCTGAGCCACAGGAAAGTCCCTGTCAACAATTCAGGAAGGACTAGTCACAGACAAGCTCTTCAAGAAGGACATAGCCAAGTCACTTGTTCAGTGTATCTGTCCAGGAGGTCTGGGAAAAGTGCATGAGAGTAGACAACTGAGAAAGAGAGACTCATGCTTCAGATGGCAACTCTTGAGCTGGTCTGCCCTGCATAGAACATGGACGTCCATGGGTCTCCATTTTGTCTGTTATTGTGTGTCTGCACTATCTCCTCCACCACACCCCACGCCAGGGGAAATGAATTAAAACACGGTCAGCAAATCTTCCAGTAAAGGGTCGACTAGGAAACAAAACAGTGTAGGATTTACAGACTGTAAGTTATTTTAAGGCATCTACTTTCTTGATATTTTTTTCAAAATATTGAAATTTGTTCTTAGTTCACAGATCAAGCCAGTGGTTGGTTGATTTGGGGCTCAGGATATCTTTTTTTCAAGACAGGGTTTCTCTGTGTAGTTTTGGTGCCTGTCCTAGATCTCACTCTGTAGACCAGGCTGGCCTCGAACTCACAGAGATCCACCTAGCTCTGCCTCCCAAGTTCTGGGATTAAAGTTGTGTGCCACTGCCTGGCAAAGGGACTGGACTCTGCATGGGCCAGGAATTGAACCTGGGCCTCCCGTGTGGCAGGTGAGAATTCTACCACTGAACCACCCATGCCATGGCCTCTCAGGATCATTTTATGCTGATCCATGAATATTGAGGACAGGAAATGTTTCTCGTAATGAAAATACTTTATAATGCTATGATTAGTCATGAATTCAAATCACTCCTCTATAGAATATGTTCAAATATCATCAGTGAATCCTGACAACAGAGAAAGGGGGAGTGACAGAATCTTTAAAAATTTACTTCAACTCTCAAATTACTAAAAATTTTTCAATTAATCAAACACTGGTTAAGCCTTACATTTAAGATAACTCTTCCTATACAAAGAAACATGCTTCATGTGTACTTTTTCTCATGCTGATAGATAAACATTATTTTTACAAAACCAAATATCAAGATCAAGGTTATCTATATGATGAATACAGGAAGATCAACTCACCAGTGAATCAACAGCACATCATGTCACTGTTGGCAACATTCCCAAATTGAAAGGCAAAAGTCCAGTCTAGTTTATGATTGGATGCAGCAATGCAGATAGTTAAACCTGTTATGAAAGATATGTCCACTGACATTTTGGAACAAAAGTAAATAAAAGAGAATGCATTATACCTAGTCCTCCTGGTTAGTTATCAGTTTGACACAGGCTAGAATTATCTGAGAAGAGGACCCTCACTTGGGAAAATAGCTCTATCAGCTTGGCCTGTACACAAACCTATGGTGCATCTGTTGATTGACGATTGATGTGGGAGGCTCCAGCCTACTGGAGTTGGTACCATCCCTGGGCGGATTGTCCTGGGTGCCATAAAAAAACAGGCTGCCAGCAAGCAGCATTTCTCGACAGTCTCTGCTTCTGTTCCTGCTTCCAGGTTTCTGCCTAGAGTCCCTGCTATGGATCTCCCTGGGAAGGGGAAGTAGAAGAGATCTCATGAGTGTACTGGGGGAGGGTAGAGATGGGAACATGAGGGATCAGATTGGAGGGTAGATGGAAAGGGAGAGACCTGAAAGAGATGACTAGAAATGGGGGAGGTGGGGGGGAGGCAGTTCAGGATCAGGTAATCAGGTAGAAACCTGGTGCAAAGGAAACTCCCAGGAATCTACAAAGATGACCCCAGCAAAGACGCCTAACAGTAATGGATGTGTCGCCTGAATTGGCCATCTCCTGGGACTGAGCCAGACTTCTGGTGGAGGGATTGGAACGCTGGCCCAGCCACACCACCTTTTACCTACAGCCATCCTGCCTATGGGATGTGTGGGGGTGGGTGGGTAAGGGTGGCATGGAGATTGTGGGAGTGGCCAACTAATGAGTGGTCCAGCCTCAGACCCATACCACGAGAGTGAGTCCACCCCTGACATTGCCTGGAGTGCCAAGACCCAGAGGCTGGAGGGCCCAGGGATCTAGGATAGAACCAAACACAGTTGGAGGGAAAAAAGAGCAATCTAATGATTCCTAATGATATTCTGCTATACTCATAGATTGGTGGATATTCCAATTGTTACCAGAAAGGCTTCATCCATCAACTGATGGAAACAGATGCAGCGACCCACAGCCAAGCATTGGGCCCATCTGGGGGAATCCTGCTGAAGAGAAGATTTCAGGAAAGTATTGAAAGAGTCAGTGGCCTCACATCATCTATTTCCCTTTCTTTGTTATTCCTTAATGAAGTAAGAATAGTAACTACAAGTGTACACATGAATATGCTACTATTTAGGTGCAGGTTAGCATTAAGATAGAAATTCACCTGAGTATAAGCCTGAGGTCCTAGCTGTTCCCCATAAAGCCAAGGATAGCATAATGGTCTAAAGCCTGGGATTAGTATATGACACTTTTCTCTGTCACAGAGGAAGCTTCTATGTGAATCCCAGACTAGTGTCATATTCTAGGTAAAGACTAAAATACAGCCCACTATGAATCATATACAGGGGTCTAAAGCAATGGTTCAGCAGTTAAGAGGCACTGGCTGCTCTTCCAGAGGACCTTGGTAAGATCCAATACACCCTGAAGACTGTTGACACCATTCTGTATCTCTAGTGCTAGGGAGTAATTCAGTGACTTCTTCTCGCCTCTGAGGGTATTGCATTGCATGTAATACATATATGCAGGCAAAACACCCATACAAACAAATTTTTTAAAAAAAGAAAAAGAAAAAAATAATCAAATGCATCTAGACTATTGAGGGCCTAGTACAGATTTCAGCCAAAAAGAGGAATAATAAAACTTTCAGAATTAGAGGATATAAATGATCATAAATTTAAATACTACCACCACCTCTCTCTCCCTCCCTCTCTCCCTCTCTCTCTCTCTCTCTCTCTCTCTCTAATAAATCAAATAAAGGACCATGAGAAAAGAAAATACCTTAAAGGAGAGAAAAGGGAAAGAAAAGTGATTAATCCATGTGTCATGAAAGCAAGATTCAGTTCGGTGATTTGTGAGGAGGACGATGGCCAAATAAGAGGTGCAGGAGAATGGGAGAAGACAGTGAAGAATGGAGGAGTACAATCAAAGTATGTACGGCGGAGTATAATGAAGCCCGTCGTTTTGTATGTTAACTTTTAAAAGTACTTAAACACTGCTTTGTATTAGGCATCTTAAGGTTCATTTTCCCCTAAATTTATAAAATAAAACTATTATACAGACAATAAATGCTACAGGAAGAAGAAAATCTTCAGAGCCACTTAGCCAGGAATTGTACCAAAATTCATTAAAAGCTGCATGCACACTTAGACAGATCACTACGGGCCCTGGTGAGCTCTGCTGGTGAGCTCTGCTGTCTTAGCTGCTCTCTAACTGGGAATGGCGTGGGGCTTTGAAATAGCGCACCCGCCAATGACACACCTCTTCCAACAAGGCCGCACCGCCTAAGCCTTCCCAAGGAATTTCAACTGGCAATCAAGCATTTAGATGTGTAAGCCTGTGGGGGCCATCCCGCGACCTCTTTCTCTTTTCTGTTGTTGGTTTTGCAAGTGCATATGAATCAGATGTTGTACACATGCAAATTCATCTTTACTTAATGTGTGGTACAAGTGATTTTGCCTGTAAGTGGAGGCCAGAGGTTGATATAAGTATCGTCTTCCTTATATATTAAGGCAGAGTTTCTCTGAACTTTAACTTTCTGATTCACCTGTCTAGCTAGCCAGCTTGCTCCAAGAAGTTTCTGGTGGGACACCATGCCCCTCAGGCACTTGCCTGGGTATTAAATATCTGAACTCCAGTCCCCATATTTACACAGGCAGGGCAAGCATTTTACCTGAAGAGCTATATTTCTACTCCCAGTTTTCTCTCTTTCTTTGTTTTTAAAGACTTAGTTCTCTATTTTTTTATTTATTTGTGTTTGTTTGACTATATGCTATGTATTTGCCTGTGCCCGTACAGGCCATAAAGGCCATCAGATTCCTTGGAGCTGGAGTTACATGCTCGGGATTGTAAAAGTTATAGGGTGTGTGTTATAAGCCTCCTGATATGGGTGCTGGGAACCAAATCCCAGTCCCTTGAAAGATCGGCAAGCACTCAAACTCTGAGACATCTCCCTAATGCTCAGCTTTCTCTTCTGACATCTGCAGGTTCTGGACACATATGGGATACACAAACATACATGCAGGCAAAACACACACATACATATGATAAAAATGAGATGTTAAAAATGATATTCAAAATGTATACCCCTTAAAACCAAATACTACTGTTCTGTTTTTCCTTTCAGTAATTTTTATTATTATTTAAAAAAATTTTAAATTTAAATATATTTTGATCATAGTTTTCCTTTCACTCCAATCCTTCTAGAGCTCCCTCTCCATGCCCACCCAACTTTAAGTCGTTTCTCTAAACAAATAAATTCCCCAGAATCAAAATAACAAAATACAACAACATCTCTCCCAACAACATCAACAAAATATTGTAACCAAACAAAAGCACACAAAAAGCCGTGGAGTCCATTATATGTTGGTCAACTACCCTGAACATGAGGCCCATCATGGAGTGGTTGATATACCCACTCGAGTGCAGATAGCTAGTTTTCTGTTTCCCAGCAGGTATAAATGGTATTTCAGTTGTTAACATTTACCCTAGTGGCTAGGTTTTCATTCATTCATTTTTTTAAAAATGTAACACTGTTCTAAAAAAAAAGGTAGCAATAAAATTACTCCTACTGACATTCTGTTATACTCATAGATCAGGGTCTTGCTCAGCCTTCATCAGAGAAACTTCCTCCTGCAGCAGGTGGGAACAAATATAGAGACTCACAGACAGTCATTATGAAGAGAATGAGAGATGTTAGAACACTCTGCCCTAACTGGGATGTCTCCCTCAAATTTCTCCCCTTAAGAATGTAAGAGCCAGAGGGAATGGAGGACACCAAAAAAACAAGGCCCTCTATATCTGTGTTTTAGGATATGACATCCAGTTTGGTGTTTTTTTTTTTTTTTTTTTTTTTTTTTTTTTTTTTTTTTTTTTTTTTTCGAGACAGGGTTTCTCTGTGTAGCTTTGCGCCTTTCCTGGAACTCGCTTTGGAAACCAGGCTGGCCTCGAACTCACAGAGATCCGCCTGGCTCTGCCTCCCGAGTGCTGGGATTAAAGGCGTGCGCCACCACCGCCCGGCAGTTTGGTGTTTTTAGGTGATTCCTAAGTGTGTAAACAAGTAGGCCTCTGTTTTTTGGGCCTTCTCTTGGACTCTTTCCTTCTGTTGATTTGTCTTGTTCAACCGCAATGTATTATTTTTTTATCTTATTGTGTTTTATATTCTTATTTTTAAAAAGGTATATCTCTTATTCTCTAGACTCAAAAGTCCTCTCCAGAATTAATGGGAGTGGAAGGGCAGGAAACACAGAGCATATAGAATGTGTGGTTGAAGCTAATGTGGAAAATATTCATCTGGAGAAGAAACTACTTAGATTAACACTAAAACTTGCAGGAAAATCACTTATGAGACATAGTTATAGAAAGGAACTGCTTATACAAATTGAACCATAGAGTGGAAGGATCAGAGCTGATGGGCTGTTCCCAGTATAAATTTCATACCTCTTCTAACAGACTCCACTACAAAACACATTGGATGCTCTCAGCAAACAGATTTGCTTCAGGGACTCATGTTTACCTTGATGCATTGATTATTAGAAACTCAAAGATAAATTATACTGTTCAATCTGAATTCAATTCATTTTCAACTAAGATACTTTAGTACAGTTTACCCTTTGTCTTTTCATTATTTCTTTATTCTTTTAAATATTTATAAACCACAGGAAAATTGCAAATACAATACAAAGAAGAAGAGGAGGAGGAGGAGCATTTTCCTGTGAGCCATTTCTAAGGTTTGCAATGTGATTCCCCACCACCTCTGAAGATTTTAGAGTAATTCTTTCAAAGACATTCTCCTGCATAACCTCAATAAAGCCATCAAAATCAGGAAGTTATGTTGATACATTAGCATCATAAAACCCACACACTTCCCTCAAATTTCACCACTTGTTCCTATAATGTCATTAGTGACAAAAAGATACTCCAAGTCACTGTTACCTTGGATGTTGTCTGTCTCATCTCCTACATCCTCAGATGCTCCTCATTTTTTGCTTGTCTTGCATGACCTTGGCACTGAACAATAAAAACCAGTTTTTATAACATCCCTGACTTCAGTTTATCTCATGTTTCTTTATGATTATAGTTAGGAATTTTGCATATTTATCTGAAAAGTGTTGCAGACAGTATGTTATTTTTTTTCCTTTTGCTTATTGTCTCATATCTGGCTTTAAACTGCTTCAACATTTATATTGTTATTTTTCTACCATTTGATTAAGATACAGTTAATGAAGTTTCTCTGTTGTAATGGTCTTCCTTTTCTCCTTATATTTAGTAATTGTTTAGGAGGAAACCCATGGAAAACCATGCTCCCTCACTGGTGTCTAGGCAAAGTGTTCGATTTTCACCACTGATGTGTCATCTGTGTACCTGGAATGTTTGTCCTTTTGAGATTCGGATTATGCCAGGTTTGGACAGAACTCTGCAAGCTGGCTTCTGCTGTGCTTCCTTTTCTCTGATCTCCAGTGTCTACTATGTTCTCTGAACATTCCTCCATTTCTGGAACAAGAACTTCAAAGGCTATCATTTGCTTCTTTCTAAGGAAATCTGGTTCCCTCTAGAAAAGAATTGTGCTGAAGGAGCTAAAGATCTAGGGCTGGAGATTGCTCAGTGGTCAAGAGCACTTGCTGCACTTTCAAAGGACCTAGTTTAAGTTCCCAGCACTCATATATCCACACACAATTGTCCGTCACTTCAATTCTAGAGTATCTGCTGTTCTCTTCTGGCTTTAGCAAGCACCAGGCACACATTGGTACACACACATGCATGCAGGAAAATCACCAGGCACTCATGTGATACACATATATGCATGCAGGAAAATATTCATAGCTATAAAATGAAATAAATATGTCTAAACAAGAAAAAGAAACTATAGACCTAGGAACTACATGTGTTATTGAGGTATCATTGTTGCCAGACCCTGATATGGAAATCTAACCCTATCACAGAGTGGATTGATTACTTTTCTTGTATCAGTGACCAAATAGCTAAGAGAAGAAACTTAAGGAAGGTGGAGTCATGGGATGCGAGCACAGCACAGCATGGTGGGGGAGACACAGCAGGGACAAGACTGCTGGCTGCACCTTCAGCAGTAAGGAAGACTGCAGTAAATGCTGCCATTCCTCTCACTTCTTCCTCTTCATACAATCAGGGAGCTCACCCCATGCAATGATGCCAATCACATTTAGGGGGGGTCCCCCCTCTTCAGTTGTATCTATTTAAAAATCACTCTCACAGATGTAAACAGAGGTTTATTTCTGAGGGGTTCTAAATCCAGGCAAGTTGTCATTGAAGATTAGCCATCAAATGATTGGTCCCAACATTCCCCTCTGCGTACATTAAACGTCTTCTTCAATAAGTAGAAATTTACAACGTATTCTATCTATTATGCTTGTTGCCCAGTCTGCCCTGTGTCTAAACTCTTCCCAGAGGGTCTAGCATTTCGCCCCGTGTCATTATCACTCACCCACAGGGACTTCCTTTGTCAACGAATGCAGATGCTAACCAGGTCCCACGTGCTGCTTCCACTGTGCCCGCTAACTCCCATTAGCAGATGCCCATCTTGGTCAACCCTGGTTAATATTTCTGGTGTCAAATTCTTCAAGAAGGAATGGTAGGAAATCAGAAAGCTAGGAAGGAAAATTCTCCTTAAATGTGTACTAGAATTATATCTTGAGGCTGTGTTCTCATTTTAGCAATGGTATTATATATGGATCTCTCATAATCTTCTTTGTAGCCCATTCGAAGGGCATAAACAATATAAAATGATGCAAACAAAATTTCAGTTGGAAGACTTCAAGAATACTTCTGAGTAGTAGGAAAGTAGAGTGTTCATCAAATCTGCATGTTGAGACCTCTCAGAACATAAAAGTGTGCTTTCGGAGACACGCTCTCCTTCACAAACACCAAGGCAGATGAAAGGAATGGCCCCAGGAATGTTAGTGGCACTTTGATTTGTACATCTCTTCCTACTCACATGCCTGAATGTACTACCTGTGTGATCTTGAGCATTTACCTAACATTTCTTTGAGCTGATTTCATCATCCACGAAAGGCAAAGTCTTGCTTCCTTGTCACCATCACAGGAATGTCATTGTGATTTTCGTGAAGTATACACTATTTTGAATTTCTCAGTAACTGCCAATATATTCTCCATCTAAGATCAGGAGAAAATATATCACCACAAGTTCATGATGGGGAGCTGCCCTGTGGGGATCTCTCTGGATTTAGTGTTAAAGAAAAAAACAATTTCTCCAGCTCCGTGGCATGATGCCACAGCTGGAGAGAACCTACCCCTGGGATCAAAAGGGAAAGCATACAGCTTTGAGTGGGCATGAAGCTGGCAGCTGATGGGTTCCAGTAAGAGAGAGAAGACCCAAATTCAGGAAGCAGGTGTGTTATCTAAGTGAATAAGGCCTGGATCTAGGCAACAAGAGCTGTCTACCAGATAAAAATGATGAAAGATAGTAGTCAGCAGCCTGCCCCTGCCTTCCTAACCCACAACTTACTTTATATTTTCAAAAATATATACAAAGCTATTTACTGCAGCATTATTTATGATGGCAAAAAAGAAAAACCAGGAAAGTAGAAGAAAACTGAATACTAAAAAAATAAGATAACGGTAGATTTTTTTTAAATCACAGATTGAAAAACAAATGAACAAATAAAACCCAAAAAGAACCACATGAAGAAACAGGTGTGCAGATTCATTTATTTACCGTTAACCTAGACCTTGAAAAGATTTGAGAAACAGAAGAAGCTGAACAAACATACTTTGCTTGAATTTTGTTTTTTTAATTTGAATATGTAGATATTTTTCATTAAATAACATTGTATTAACATGTATGGATTTTATTATTATGAATTAAAAATGCAGAATTTAGTAACAGCTCTCACAACAGCCGTTCAAAAACCATGGGATGAACAAAGATTGTTAATTACATAAAAAGATTTCTGAACTTTTAAAAAGATGAAATACAGATCTTCTGCCAGAGAGAAATTTCTGTAAGTAAAGTTATTTTGAATTTAAAGAAAAAGGTAGGGGGGGGGTACATTTTTCACCAGTTATTTAAACCAGAGGGCTATACTGTTTTGACTGCCATCGAATGGAGGAGCAAGAATTTAAACTCCCTAAGAAAAAAGATGTTATATAATGAGGAGCTGTGTGAATTGTCATCAGAATATATTTTGTCCATCCATGGCCAGTGGTTTGTAATTCTGTCAGTTCACTTTCACTGTTGCTGTGAAGATCAAAGAAAGACATAATATAAAAATGATTTAATAACTACATAAATGTGAGAAATTTATCATTTGCATTAAGAATTATTTTTATCCAAATATTTTGAAACCTGGCATGAATACTTGAGGCTCCCAATACACTTACAACTAAACTACAGAATAAATATATTGCAAATAAACTCAGACACAAAGAGAATCATCCAGTCCCCTGACTAGCCGTGTGGTATGTGAGACCCTGCAGGCAAGAAAGAAATGATTGTCTGATCAGAGGCTACACAATGATATTCATAGCTATTCAACAGTATATACAGCACATCCTCAGAGAAACATAATCACGCAGTGTTAAATTCAGAGCACAAACTTACAGGGAATAAGAAATTTCAGTAGAAAATAAATGATATCCACATTGGGGCATCTTTGACCATAACTTTGGAAGATGGAGGGTTAAAGTGCCTTCGGATGTCACTTGTACCCATATATTGTGACTGTCTAATTCATGGTTTTGAGAGCCACAACTTGCAAACTTCCTAGCACCTAGGGACATTCTCTGCCATTAATTTGGGTGTAGGAGTCCCTTTGCAATAACTAGGAAATGTAGGGGAAGAATTAATGGCAGGGTAGAGCCTTTACTCAGTAGACAATAGCAGTGTGTATGAGTAGGAGACAATTAATTGCAGCATTGGTCTCCGTTCCAAAATTCCCAGGTCTATGCACAGAAATACATGTTCACTGGAGGGTCACCGAAAACAGTAAAAGTAAGGTTCCAAAAACTCATTCCTAACTAAAGCATATCTGCTTCGCAATGGAACAAAAATCCTCTGTAAATGAGCTTATGTGTATCCAGATTCCTCAAAGAGAGCAGAGTAACATTTTCCTGTTCAAAATCAAGGATTTAATGTAATTCTGAACATCTTTGATTTTCTCTTCAAGAAACTCTCACGCTGCATAGGACCTGTAGGTTTAGTAATTGAAAAGATATTGGGCTTGCTACAAACAAAACTCACTGTTCTCAAAGACAGATTTCAGAGACCCACATAAAGATTTTCCATTTGTTTATGCAACAAGAACTACTGCATGTGGCTGCTTTAATAAGGGGGAAGTCAGCTAACTCAGTATCCTATAATTACTTCTTAGGTTATACTGTGTTACTGACCTATCCTGGAAGCTACACCTATGCCATGACCAAGTAAGAGATACTGGCTTGCAAAACCTGAATAAGGAAATATAGGACACATCAAGATGGAGTCTTTCTTTGTGTCTCTGACTTACTCCTATTCAAACAGGAAATAGGATGCCTCTAATTCCACTGATTACCAGTTTCAGTATCAACTTATCAGGACAATGATAGGCCCCATACAAATGTCACTCTAATGTTTTTTTCCCAACAGAAGTAGAAGCTGATCTATATATCCCAGAGCAATTGTACAAGAGCACATTGTATTTGCCAGCTCACTCTTTGAGCCTTGCTAGTCAGATGCTTAGTTTTCTGTAATTGAGATTTTACCCAAAGAATTCCAATGGAATGTTTAAAACTCAATTTTCCTGTAATCTCTCAGAATCTGGTTTCATTTATATTCAACTCACATAATGTCTCTTGTGAGTAAAGCAGATCTACTCTCAAGAGTAAACTTCGCCAAGAAACTCAGGACAGAGACATCTGCAAGTGACTTGGTAGAGACTTTTCATGTCTTTCAGGTAGAAGGGCATACCCTTGTCAGTGTATATTCGCCATCAGAATGAAACACTTGAGCTTTTCAAAATGTCACTAAAAATAAAACTATTTTGTTTTTATTAGTAGACTCTTAGAGTTTTCAAATAAGCTGTGTTAATTTAACAGCACAATAGGCTATATTCCAATGTCATATTGAAGGGGCAGGGAGATTCATTCAAAAGAGACACCATATATAAAAATTTGCTTCTCAAAATAATGGGAAAATACTCAGTTTACAAAGTTAGATTAGATTTTAAATTCAGGTTCTGTTGCTTTATTGGCTCCTATCTTAAGCTTCTGTTTCTTAAAGTGCATGTGGTTGAACTTAGCTCTCAGGGTTACTAGATTATTTTTTTAATTTAGATATACAAAATTGTTTTGTAAATGGTTAAGCAATATGTCTTTCTCTTTTATGAATATGATGGTACTACTAAAAATTAGAAATTAAAGTCATGAAGTAATAAAATGGGAAGGATAGAGTTTTTCTTGATGATTCTCTTGTTTTAATGTGCTTCATTCTGTAAATGAAATGAAGTCTTATTCTGTTTAACAATCATTTACTGAGCTTCTCTATGAACCAGGATGTCTATTGAAGTTGGAGAAACAGTTAATTAACAGGAATGCCTGAAGGAGTTAAGATCCAGGTCAAGGAAGTATCTGCCCAAAGTTTGAAAATTTGAGGTTTAAACGCTATAAAAAGGATCAATAAATTTCTCATATTTTGAGTCTCTGCCCAGGACTCAACTTCCACTGCCTCTGTGCTCAGGTTTTCTCATCTGCCTCAAATCATAGGAAGTTTATAAAAGTCATTTAACACTTTAAAAATGCCAGTTTTCTAAAGCTCCGGACCAGATGTCTCCACCAAATCCCTCTCCTCAGAGCTCACGGGAACCCAGTGGATGAGAAGGTAGGAGCTGCGAAGACAGAGGGGGAAAGAGGACCCCAGAATAAGGCCTTATAAAAACAACTGAGCATAGCATGCTCTTACTTATAAGTGGATATAAGCTATAAAGAAAAAAAAATAATCATGCTATGGACCACAGACCCGGAAAGGCTAAGTAACAAAGCAGCGGGCTTAAGGAGTGGGAGTGGGTGGGGGACACAAGGATCTGCCTGGGAAGGGGAAATAGAATATATTTCACTAATGGACTCAGGGGTGGGTCGGGTTGGGAATAGGAGGGATCAGTTAGAGGAGGGGGGAAAAAAGGAGAAATTACTGGAATTGGCGGGAGGGGCATTTCGGGGGCAAGGTGGAAACCTAGGGCCGGAAATCTATGAGAGTAACCATAGCAAAGACTGCTGGTAATGGCAGACAGACAGCCTCAACTGGCCATCTTCTGTAACCAGGCAAGGCCTCAAGTGTTGGGATGAGGACACCAAGTCAGCCTCAAAACCTTCTACCTACAGTTTATCCGGCCTGCATAGTGTTCTAGGACCAGAGCCTAGCAGAATTGTCATCAGACAGACCCAAAGAGACTTCAACCACCAATTGACGGGAGCAGATGCAGGGATTCCACAGCCAAACATTAGGCAGAGATCAGGGAGTCCTGCGGAGGAGGGAAGGAAGGATCAGAGGAACCAGAGGGGAAAGGGACACCAGGAGAACAAGGCCCACAGAATTAACTGACTGAGACTCATGGGAGCTTGCAGAGATCAGGGAGCCAATAGGACTCTGACCTGGGTCTTCTGCATACATGTGATGATTGAGTAACTTACTGTTTTGTGGGATTTCTAACAGTGGAAGCAAGAGCTATCTGTAACTCTTTTGCCTGCTTATGGGACCCTGCCCCTCCTACTGGGTTGCCTCATCTAGCCTTGATGTGATCATATGGGCCGGGTTTTATTGTAGGTTCTTGTGCTGTGTTTGGTTTATGTCCCTAGGAGGCATGCTCTTGTCTGAGGTGGGGAAACTGCAGTATATAATATATACTGCAATGTATTAGATGAGAGAAGAATACAAATTTAAATTTAAGCCGGGCGGTGGTGGCGCACGCCTTTAATCCCAGCACTCGGGAGGCAGAGCCAGGCGGATCTCTGTGAGTTTGAGGCCAGCCTGGGCTACCAAGTGAGTTCCAGGAAAGGCACAAAGCTACACAGAGAAACCCTGTCTCAAAAAACAAAAAACAAAAAAAAAAAATTTAAATTTAAAAAAACTGAGCAAAGCTCACATGAACTCACAAGACTGAAGCAGTATGTACAGGGCCTGCACAGGTCTGCACCAGGTTTTCTGCACACATACTACAGTTTTCAGTTTAGTACTTTTATGGGACTCCTGAATGTGTGAAGGAATGTGCTTCTTTTTCTTGTGCCTTTTCTTGGGGCTTTTTTATTTTTCTGTTGGGTTGTCATGTCTAACTTCAATAGGATGGTTTTTGTTTTATCTTATTGTATTTTTTTTTTATGTTTAGTTGTTAGCTCCTAGATGCTTGTTTTGTATAATGAGAGACAGGTGTATGATGTATGCATATATGTATCTCAAATATAATATATATATATAATATATATATATGAGTCATGTCTATATATATGAGAGAGATATAAAGAGATGAGTATGTGTGTGTCTATACACAAATGGGGAGGTTTTCCCTGAAGTGCCAGTTAAGTTCTAATTTTTATTTCCTTCATTTACAACCACTAGAATTTGAAGGTGGGAAAGGGTTAAATTTTATGAATGGCTTCTGAAAGAATTAAAAGTGTTTAGAAACCAGTGTTCCCCAAACGAATGCCACTTTTTGTCTTAGATTAATCAGGCCCATTACATACTACAGACAAGGCCAGGGTATTCATTAGAGTAGCTGGAGTGTCGTCTTTCCCTGCTGAGTCCTTCATTTATCTGGGCTGCTCTTTCATAAACCAAAGATGTAAAACACTCGTAACTTGTCCCCCTACAGTGTCCTTCCTCTTCCCAGGCATGGACACCACTTCTGCTTTTCAGTCACATTCAGTTTTTGGAAGGTACCTGCATTCCTCTTTGCCGGCACATACATTTGCCCCAATGCTGGTGTGCTTTTCCTCCTCTGGTTTATGGAGTGTATTTTTAATCCCCAGCAAAATGAATCTGCCATGCTTTCCAAACTTACCCAGGTAGGCTCCCTCTTAGCATCCGACTTTGTCAATACTGTTACTACAGCATCCTCCATGCAGTATCATAATTGCATTTGTGCATGACTGAGTTGTCCATTCAGTCACCCACTCACTTGACAATCATTTATTGATTAGTCACTTTGTGCCAATTGTTCATACTGATACCAAGTACTAAAAGCAAGGTCCTTGCTTTTGAGGAGCTTACAAGGTGATTACAGATCTATGACTGCTAACACAGAGGGCATACACTGGGTAAAGTAGAAACCAGAAGCAAACTGCAGGCTTAAGTTTAATATTAAAGTTAGAAAACTCAGAGAAACTCAGAAGTAAACTACTGTCACCTGTGCATGAAAGAGATTTCGAAACAGTTAAGTGATTCAAACCGCTTACCACACCCCACAACTATATATTCAGTGCCTCTAGTACCAAACTCAATAGGTCTAGAGTTCAATGCATCTGTGCTCATCTTTGTCCCTCCCTCCTCCATCTACTTGCTTCTGTATTTTCTGCACATTAATGATACCCCATATACCTAGTTTCTCCAATAGAAAATACAATGTTACCCTAGATTCCTCCCACTTACATCTAGTTGCTCATGATAACTGTTACATACAAGTGATTCTTCTCTGTGTCACATAAAATGACTTAATTGTTGTCACAACTATTCAACTCAATGGATCACTGGATTACCACAAACAGTCTCTCTCTCTCTCTCTCTCTCTCTCTCTCTCTCTCTCTCTCTCTCTCTCTCCTTTTTCTCTCTCATACATGTATATAATGTTCTTTTGTCAAATATACCCTGAATCATATACCTCTCCATACTTTTCTATTCCAACTTCATGTATTTCTTTCGACCCACTTATTCCACTTACTGTTGCTACCATGTGTATGGGAGTCTTAGTTGGGTTTTTACTGCTGTGAAGAAACACTATGACTACGGGAACTCTTATAAGGAAAATATTTAATTGAAGTGGCAGCTTACAATATCAGAAGTTCAGTCTATTATCACGGCAAGGAGCATGGCAGCAGGCACACAGATGTGGTACTAGAGAAGTAACTAAAAGTGTTATGTCTTACAGGCAACAGGAAGTTGACTGACTGTCATACGGAGGGAAGCTTAAGCAAAAGAGATCTCAAAACCCACCCACACAGTGACACACTTCCTACAACAAGGCCACACCTCCTAATAGTACCACTCCCTTTGGGAGCCATTTTCTTTCAAACCACCACATTGGGTATAGACCCATCCACTGGAGTATGGACAACCTACAAAGAACAGCATTCCTGAGGAAAACTGAATCTTCGTCCCCTAACAGCCACCAGTTACCAATGGTTCTTCTGCTGTGTGGGATTTCATGAGACCTCCTGCATCCATGCTGGAACACTGGCTAGCTTGATTTTGTACACTTCTTGTATATGCAGTCACAGATACTGTGAATTCAAGTGTGTAATGACCCTGTCACATCCAGAAAAGACTATTTTATAACTCTTCCACAAACACACAATTGGTCAAATTGCAAAAAATAGGTTGGTGAGTGCTCAGCCCTAAATAGAATATCTTTATCACCCCTGCCCACCAAGTTCAGTGACTTAATGCTATTTTCCCCCTTTATGTCACCATACACTTGGGACAAAAAAAGTTCTTTTTGAAGATGTTTATCAAAGATCATGTTGTTCAAATGGTAAAAATATTTCAGTTGCTTCTCATCACATTTAGAATAATTTCTCATGCATTATTCTAGACCCCCATCATCTAACCCCTCCAGACTTAACCTTCACTTTTGAATTGAACTTGGATCTCTGTCTTCCAGCCATATGGAAGTGTTTTGATTCTCTCCACAACAAATTGTGGCTTCACTTTGGTGTGACTTTGGCCTTGGTTATAAATTTGACTTTATTTCAAGTCCATTTAAAGTTCAAGTCTACTAGAGAGGCTTTACATCTTCCTTGGGTATCCATATTTATATATGTTCATGTTTACATCTATCATGCTTTTTAAAACATACCTACCATAATGGTAAGTTTAATTTTCTGTCTTTAAGCTGGTTTATGTTGTTTTCCTTTCCTCTTTGACTTTTTGTTCTGTACTGAATTGAAACATTCCATCCTAGAGGGGAACCATTGAAAGTCAAGAAATAAACACACACATACACACACACACACACACCTTACAAGTCTTAAGAGAGTCCTGAAACTTAGAAAAATTAGAAGGCCCTCCCTAAGGTTGTACAGCAATATTAGTTTTTTGAGAGAGGAGATTTTTCAACCATAAAGCTGTTTATAAGTCATGGAAGGAGAATATAATGCCAGTATACAACTTTTGTGAGTCAGCACCCATGCTGGATAGAATGGGCTTTTTATTGATGTAGCTACCTCTGAGTTTTTCATGCTTCTGTAAGTAACCTAATAAACTCACTGATTTACTATGCTAGATGTGTGTGGAATTATTTCTTGATCTGTCATCACCCCATTTGAAGTGAATATATTTGCTCATGTCATACACACTATCCAGACTTTCTGCTACCTCTTATTTTCTTAATTCCAGCACCACGTACATATTTGATACTCACTAAGTGTATATTTAGTAAGTGAATGAAAGACCATGAAGGAGCAAATGCTATACAGGTAGAAAAATGTGATACTCAAAATTCTCAGTCAGTTAATTCTCACTTGTACTGATACTTGCACTATCTAATTGATTTAACTTCAGAAACAAATAATATCCCTAATTTCACCATGAGGTAAAAGTAAATAGTAAATATAGTATTAGGAAGTATCAGTAAAACTGTAAAAATATTTAAATGACAAGGGATTTTTTCAAATATAAATTAAACAAAATGATTTCTTAACTCCTGGTTTGTAAAGAATGGCTTTGTAGTGAATGAGTTCTGTACCAGGAACCAGAAAACCTTTCTGCAAAGGACCACATGTAGTGCTATCACACAGGCTTCTCAATTTTTTAAAAGA